GAATTCGATCCCGATGCAAATGGTCTATTTCCCAAAGGTGTTGTTGGAGCAAATCCATCTTCCAAGTCTGGCACAGTATATGGTAAACTCATGTTGTCTCTTGTTGACTTCCTAGTTGTTGTGATGTAATACTATGTTTGGATACTAATCCTACTAAACTCTGTTTTTCAATTCAAAAATGGTCTCTGGTCTCTTTACCAGGGCAAGTTGGGGGTTTTCTCAGTAACAATACTAGTAGCTGGGAGTGTTCTTCTCGCAGGATACGATTATCCAGATTCTTCGGTGGTCTTCCTTCTTCTGGGATATAATCGTCTGCTTCCTTCGAGTGGGCTCCGACGTTCGCTTCAAACAGGATCCAGTTATCCAAATCCTTCGGTGGTCTTCCTTCTTCTGGGATATAACTGGCTGCTTCCTTCGAGATACGTCTTTCAGAACTAGAGTCACAAATCTTCTTCTTCTTCTTTCAGAGTTTTAGTAGTTTTCGTTCGTTAATAGGTTTTATCACTTGACTATTCAATCTTCAGGTTAACTTGATGTTTCTTCTTTACTTGATGACAGTTGTGGTTGACAAAGTTGTTCTTCGCAAAATCCTTCAAGAGTGTCGACTATCCGTGTTGATTCTTCTTCTTGCTGTTCGTTTAGAATTTGATCCTTCTTCAATTATACCGTAATCCTTATCACGTTGGGGACTCCCTTGTAAGACTCAAAAAGTGATTGTAAGATCCTTTTTGCTGAATGGAGAAAGGGATGAAATGAGCTGCAAACTCTGCCTTTCTATATTATCAGAAAACAAGACCACCAAGGTAAGCTTGGCAGTTTGGTTGGTGATAATGGATTATGTTCAAAGATGGTTGTATAATTGTTGAAGGTTGATCTTGTTGTCCAAAGAATTGATTGAGTTGGTGATGTTGTTTCTCGTCTTGATGTCTTGATACTTGTGTTCTTCCTTAATGCTGTATATGTAATAGAGGTGGTTCTTGAACCAAAGGGTCTGGGAGCACTATGCTTCAACCAGGACTGGAACAAAGGACTGGTTCTTCTGTGTAATGTTTGTGAAACTGTGTATATATTTTAACTGTGAACTGTACTACTTGTGAACCTCTTGTGTAATAAATATCTGTGACAGGTGTCCCACCAAAAATGTGTACTGAGTGGGATGAGGAGGGAAACAACTGGCAGGCAGAGGCCTCCTTATATAGTAAAATATGAGGGATTTTAGCCCCAAGGGACCCCTGTATGAGGCATTTTAGCTGCCCTATCCTTGTAAATCCTGAGGGATTTTGGCTAGACTATCTACAACGCATTCCTTTTATATGTAAGCTGTAAGAAAGGAATTCATGTGTTCTGTGGCTGAATAAATGGGAATTTAACTGGTACAACTGGTGGCCAACTTGTGGTTCTGTAAGTATAAAAGGAATTCAATATGCAATATGCAATATACCCTCCAGCTGAGTGCCTCTGATCCTGTGATCCTCCGTGTGACATCCTTGATTCTGCGTAACTTCTGATCCAGTAGAGATATGAAGGTGGTTCCAGTGACTGACTAGGGGTTAAATTGGCCGTAGATTCCATTTCTGACGTCCATCTGTCCATATCTTGAGCCCTTCATTGATAAATAATAAATTTTTGAATTTTCTTCCTTTATACACAGGAATAATGACCACAACGTTGCAGTTAAAACCTGCATAATCTCCTGGCTCGAGCACCAGCTGCCTCGCTCACTTGGATAACGTGTGCTCTGCTTCATCACCTCGTACCAGCCACCCCCAGTGTTCGAATTGCCCACAAGACGTACTGCCCCGATGCTCCTCGAGATGACCATGTACACCTTGGCCCTCCCTGGCCTGCTGCGCGCTCAGGGGCTCCAACTCCCTCCAGCGGACTCCTCAGCCTGCATCCATCTGCAACGAGAGCCTGTGGAAACTACACTCCCGTGCCCAATCCTGTACAACTGCCACGATGGCCATCGTCATGTCTGCCAAATCGAGCTGAATGCTTCAGGCCAACGCTGTACGGGGTGCGGCGATGTCGACGATGAAGAGTACCTCGAAACCTGCCGTCTAGGGGCGACCACCCACCCCACAGTGCCATGTCCGGGACACTAATAGCACACGACCGGTCTTCATCTCCTCTACCTTGCGACAAACGCACCTGGATCCGGGATACCCCCCCTTTTGCTGCATAGCATCAAGTGCCTGCAATCGCCTAATCAAGTTTTGGCACCCCCTTCCCCTCATACACTCGATCTGAAGCTTGACAAATTTTCTCACGCTACTGATTCGGACGATTTAGGCCATACTAGATCGGCTCGAAACCTGGGATAAGCCTTGTCGCTTCCACCAAAATCTCTCGGCGGCCCCCAGAACACTTGGGTTTATCTCCACCGAATCACGTCTGTTTCAATTCCATCGTTCTCAAAGCTTAAGGGTTGATGTCAACCAGCACGGGCATCATTCTAACTAGGACAGATGGTTAAAGTTGGCATTGCATCGTCATATCGCTTAGAAGTAGACTGAGTCCACCTCTGATTCCAGAGCTTTCGATTGCAATCAAGCTCAGTCTGAAACCGCTCTTGATTCGTGATTTCGGAAGGAGGGGGACGGATCGTAACCGACTAGTGGCACTGCCGGTTAATAATAACACCCTGCGAGGAACGATCGAAGGCTTATCGACGACGAGTACGAGTCCGACCGAGCTCATCATCAACAACCGCATCGCAATCAGTTTGGATTTCGCTAAGGGCTCTAAACACACTTTCACTCTCGATCCGTTTACAAACCTACCCGAATTACAAAAAATCGGTGCTGATGAATACTCCTTATGATCATTCAGCAGCACCTAAGTATGTATCCCAGTGCTCGTCAAATGTGTCCAGACACCTTGATCATGATGAAATATCTCTCTTGGTGGTTTGACAATCCTTTTACAAAACTGCATTTCCCTTCCATCTATGCAAAAAAGTGAGCCCATCAAAGAAGATAACCAATCAAGAGTCTGACCAAGTCTGGCCTTTTCTAGGACCTAGAAATTATGGTTATGGTCTTGGTCTGGTACCATGTCTTATGCTGCTAGTCTTGCATCAAGTTAAGGGGGGTTGGAAAGCCCAAACTCAAGACCCTGAGAATGCCCTGGGTAGAGATGGCAATGGGCACCCGTTTGCGGGTACCCGGTACCCGTTTGCAGGTACCTGTTCTTCGGAGCGGGTACCCGCCCGCGGGTGCTGGGTGCGGGTGCGGGTGTTGAGTTTTGGGACAAAAAACGGCAGGTACCCGGGTACCCGCCTTGACACCCGCCCTGACACCCGCCCTGGGAATACAGTTTTGGGCTTTTTGGGCTGCACAAAGGTGTCAGCAAACTATGTAGGACACCATTTGGTGTCCTACATGGGCCTGTTGAGGCCAGAGGGAACCCTCCAGCCTTCAAGATGATAGATCAGAGAGAAGATAAAGTGCAAATTAGTGATAGGATATTTTTTCCTTCTTTATTTCTTTATTTTTATGTTCTTACTCATATATCTAGTGAATATCAATCATACATTTGGTAAGTCATGCAGAAATTCAAGGGTGAAATTTCTGGGTAATTTGCCTGCAAAAATGTGCCAGGTACCCGCAGGTACCCGGTGCAGGTACCCGGGTACCCGCCCCTGGCGGCCCTAGCAGGTGCGGGTGCGGGTGCGGGTGTCAAAAATATTGGATTTTTGAGGCAGGTACCCGCACCCGCTACAGGTACCCGGGTATCGAGCGCCATCTCTAGCCCTGGGGCACCCTGAAGCTCCAGGTCTTGACCTTTTTTTTTCTGGGTACTGGATTATATCAAACAATCCAGACTCTAGCCCAGAAGCATCACAAAGGCACTGGAGCCTCAAGGAGTTGTACCAAGCATTCATCAGCCCTTCCTGATTTACATTGCTATCATAATCAGTCTTTAGACTGGGTCTGCGTGAATTCCGCTGTGTTACGCTACACTAACCGTAGGCTAACCATCATCATTATATATTGACTTTTTTTCCAAAAACCTGTCATTATTCAAACATGTTAGTTATTTGTCTTCCACCTTTGTGAAGAAAAAATATTTTTTGGATGATTGACTGGTTTCTAATGGTGGATTTCTTATACTTGATACCCTTGTCCTACTGAAACAACATTGTGTCCAAATTGGGAAACACTAACACAAATGGGCAAAATGAAATCAGATTTATGCAAGGATGAAATGTTTCAAAACCATTTGTGTACAAGTGTGAGACATGAGAATACCCAAAGTGGAATAGTGTGGAACAAGTAAAATGTGGCCCAGAGAGAAAGGGTCATATCTTCAAGAAATATGAAGAGGCCAAGAGTGGAATATGAAGGGGGATTAATGATGTCAGATATGAGGTAATTTGTAATAAATAAATGGAGTGAGGAGGACACCAGTTTTTTTATCAAAATTTAATTAGCCCAATCCAATACTTTTCCCTCAGAGTCAAAAGACACTCAAATCTCATACATCTCTTTCTGAATTTCAGAATTTTCCAGTGAGTTTATACAACTTCAAAAATGAGGTGCTCAATGTGAGGCAAACGAGTTACCCCTGGCATGTTTTCTATTCTTAGGCATGAGTTGATTTATCAACTGATTGTCATCAATTGGGCCAACTCTCTTACACTATTCAAGACTAATTGAAGAAATTTTGGCGAAAAGGCCGAATAAAGATACTTTTTAATTCTTGAAGAGAGGGCTAATGTGCTCGCAACAAAGACTGAAGAAGGGCTAATGTGCTCCTTCAGGACCGATCTAAAAAGAATAAAGAACCGATGATTTTTTATTTCTCAATATCTAGAGTAGGGAGTTAAGTAGTCTAGATACAAGAGAGCACAAGTTGTGGGACGGAATTTTATGCATATTGAATAAAAAAAAGGTCGGTGATAAATGAGTGACAGGTGACAGAGAGGAAAAATGGAAGAGAGAGTGAGATCGATGAGCGAAAAATTCAACACCCCTCCTGAGCAAGAGATCGAACAGTTAGAGATGGAGGTCTGGATATTTTTGCTGTAAGTATTCTTCATCTTCGGGAGTGTATCGAGTGAGATGAGATGAATGTTGTTTTGAGGAGGAGGGGGCCGGTTTGGGCTGTCGTTTGTCGGGGTGCTTCTGGAAACAGTTGCTTTCCGTATGGCCACTTTTGAAACAATGAGAGCAGGATCGGAAGCCTCGCTTGCAATGAGGACAGATAATATCGGGGTCGGTAGTTTTGGTGAACATCGTAGCTTCGGATGCGATCACAGACTTCTTGATGTCGTTCAGTTGGTTTTGAGTAGCGAAGTCCTCGAGTTTCTTGAGTACGTCGTCGAACGGCAAGGTTTCAAAATTCATCGATATGTTTGTCTTGAACGAGTGAAAGTCTTGAGGAAGTTTGTCGAGCATCAAGATAGTTTTAACTTGGTCGTCAAGGGCGAGGCACGAGAGAACGATCTTTTGATTTGCGGCTCGAATAAGCGGTAGAAACGATGAGAACGAGTCGTAGTCAACGGCGAGGAATTTCTTTAGAGCTGTAGTCTTCGATGTGAGGTCATTGCCAGCGAACTTAGATCTGAGTAGCTGCCAAAGCTTGTATCCATTGAATTTATCGGTGGTTGGGAGAGCTGAGCTGACATAAGCAAGAACTTCTTGGTTGAGGTATTGAACAATCTCGGCGTAGGCGTCTTCATTGAGTTTGTTGTACAATTTGAAGTTGTCCTTGTCTGTTTCAGAATCGGGACAGGTAACAGCGCCAGTGACAATGTTGAGGGCCTTCAGTTTGTAGAGTTTTGCTTTGATTGGGAGAAGCCAGAGAGTGTAGTTTTCGTTTGAGAGAAGGATTTTGGATTCACGAACGACCTCGGTAGCCATGATGCAATAGAGAGTCGGTTGGGAGAGAAGAGTTGAGGTAGGATGATGATGAGGTTAAGTGTTGTTGTGTGTTAGTCGATTTCGACTGTTAATCGTGAAGAAATTTTGGCAAAAAGGCCGAATAAAGATACTTTTTAATTCTCGAAGAGAGGGCTAATGTGCTTGCAACAAAGACTGAAGAAGGGCTAATGTGCTCCTTCAGGACCAATCTAAAAAGAATAAAGAACCGATGATTTTTTATTTCTCAATATCTAGAGTAGGGAGTTAAGTAGTCTAGATACAAGAGAGCACAAGTTGTGGGACGGAATTTTATGCATATTGAATAAAAAAAAGGTCGGTGATAAATGAGTGACAGGTGACAGAGAGGAAAAATGGAAGAGAGAGTGAGATCAATGAGCGAAAAATTCAACACTAATCTTTATGCCTCACTTTGCTTTCATCCCTGACAAAATATCAGCTTTACAAGTCTAGTCTTTGTGGCCAGGAGGGATTTCTCCAGGCCATGTCTTGAAATTCTCAGGGATTTCAAGACTAAAGAATTCTTGACACCCAAGTCAAATACCTCTCAGTCATCAAGGCTGTATTCTCTTGGCGGCTAGGAGGTTTTCCTCCAGGCCATCAATTGATTTTTGGGTTCTGTGTTAAAACCCTAGAGCTTAAAATTTTGAACCCAGAAAATCTGTGCAATGTGAAAATTGTGAGAAGAATTGATATTATGGCACTTACACACATTCCACCCATAACAGTTGTAATAAATTCATAAATGCCTGAAATAACATAACTGCCATTTCCCCCTTGCGGAACTGCCACCCATCCCAAAGGACTTATCACACTGCCAGTCTAGGATGTTAAATTTTACCTTCAAAACTCTAGATTCCAAATCTTGTTTGCAGAATGACATGCAATTCTCATGACCAAATTGGGTTTGGGATCTAGTATTAGACCCTCCAGATCAATGGTTAAAGATTAGCTGGGAATCCTCCAATGGATTTTTTTTGGAGAAGATCCACTTTCTGTGTGTGCTAAGTTTGGTTTCTTGGCTGGTTCAAGATGCAGTTTAAGTATGAATATTCCCACAAGGTAGAAATTGCCCCACTGGCCCAGTTGATAAGACTCACCCTTCACATCAACACCTTGTACTAGGCACCTCCTGTGTTCAATCTGCCCTCAAGACAAACACATTTCACAGAATCACAGAATCATCTGCCACCATGCTCATCGGTAAGGCACTGTGCTTCCTTGCCACACCCTGCCTGCTGTTGGCCCAGGCAGTGTGGGTTCAGCCAGGCCATCCTGCCCCGGCACCTGCCTGTCCCCACCCTGTCAGATATCCAGTGTATGGGGATCTCCCATGCCCGGCTCTCTACACTTGTCACAACGGACATCAACATCAATGCAGCCATCCACTGGACGGTGGGGCCCAACGCTGCCGCTATTGCAACCATGACGCCGACATTCAGTACCATGTTAACTGTCCACATGCGCCCCACCCCAACAGGCCTTGCCCATATCAATAAAAATCTGTAACCGGTTTCAAATGGGACAAATCTAGAATGGCTATCATAACCAACTTTCAACCATGATAAACCACACCTGCAGGAGAAAACCCCCCTTTTTTATGCACAACATTCAACACCTGTGATTCCCCAACCCACTCATGTGATATCATCATCCTGCTGGAAGTGGGGGCAAATCTGATGCCAAGTCAAAGGAAGGAAGTAGGAAGGAAGTGGATCTTGGGACTCAAATTCTGTCTTGCACAGTTTTTGATTCATGCTTGTGGGAAGACAGATGTCCAACTGTTGCTGCTGGTTTACAAAACACTTCCCCTCAATTACAAAAGTTTTTGTTTATAAATGCTGCTTGCAATTAGTCACCTAGACTATGTCTCATGTAACATATTGACAAGTCTGGGATGATGGTCTGGGTCAGAAGACTCCTGTCACATTGGACACTGTAGTCTGTCACTACCAGAGAATGAGACACCTTTGTGGTTTGTCTCTTATCCTCAAGACTCGTCATACTTAAGATTATACCCTTGGATCTCTGTTCCATGCTATGCAACAACTATTATACATTTCTTTGTGTTCAATAATCATGAGAGAAGAAAAAAAAATTGCAACACTAACTACAGTACAGCAGAAGTAAAAAATTGAGATTGTTGATTGATTTATAAAGTGCAATCTGATCCTTGTGTTGAGAGTAGTATTCAACACACAACATATATGGTCATTGTATCTTGTGAGTGCAAGAAGCATCTCAACCTAGTTTCAAGTTTTCATCTGGATATTGAGAAAATGAAAATGATGATTTGACTAGCCTACAAAAGATTGTCCAGTAATAACACTTAGCAGCTCATGACAAATGTTAAAATATTTAAATAGATTGATGAATGTTCAGGTCATGAAGTGGCTCATCGCCTTAGAAGAAGATTCACAGGGTGAACAAATCCTACGGACTTCCTTCTCATCATTCATACTTACAGCTAAACTGGTCAGACTCTGTTTTTTGTTTTATTTTTTATGCCTTTTTTTGTGGTTTGATTTGAGGTATTACTACCCACTGTGGAGAAGCAGTACATAACGGAACGAAAGAAATCGACTCAAGATTGATCAGATTAAATGAAATAGGAAGACTAACTAACATGAGCTCAACAGACATTCATTGTACTTCAATTTCTGCTTTCATTTGTTTGTGTATATCTCCACTGTATAACCGACCGATAATTGTACAAGAGTGTGTGAAGGATTGGAGGTGTAAGAGATGAGAAAGAGAGGCTTATCCGCGACGTTTTTTAGAGTCTTGAGTGTCTTCGTCTCGGGTTTTCGAGCTTCCTGCAGAAGGCTCTAAGCCTCGTTTGACACCCTTCTTGGCCTCGTCTAAGAAGGCATCGATCGCGAATGGATCGGAAGCCATTAAGGTCGTGTCTCGCTCGAATTGGACAGGTCTGTGAACGACAAGGAACAAAAGTAGGTTAAAAAGATTTATATTCATGAGACTGTCAAACAAGAATATCGGTCAAGTATAATCAATGATCATCTTAAACTTACCCATCACGCGACTCTTGAAGTTCAGCACCTTCAAAGCCTTTGCCAGCCACACCCAATCCAAAACGGTCGTTCCGCATAGCATGGCTAATCCCTTCTTCGGTTCCTCCGCCATATCGCTCGTCGGTGTTCGCAGGGGGCTCATCATCAGCGGCTGCTCCGCCACGTTTATAGATGGCAGCGGCAGCAGAAGAGCCCGAAAAGAGGGGCCGATCGTAGAGGTTATAAGAGTCCTCATCGCCGAACGAGCCGTTGAGTTTCTCCTGATTAAACAGACGGGAATCGATCATCGACTCCTTCGAGATCGTCGGCTTGGCCAGACCTAGCGCGATCTTCTCCCCGATGTCCCGGTTCTGGGTCCGCGCGAAATGCTGGGCGCGTTTCTCGTTGCCCATGTTATTCATTCGCATCTCTCGTTCTCTCTCCTTGCGGCGCTCCTTCCTAAGCTCGTCTCTTGCACGCGCCGCCTCCTCATCGAGATCCTCACTGCCTCTGTCATCATCCTCCTCGTCTGACTCCGCCGCCTTCTCCGATCGACGTCCACCACGCTCGGACCCACTACGCCCCGCGGAATCCGTATCACTCCCATATCCCGCCAACGCAGCCGACATGTTGTTCCCATTCGATACCCCCGCAACAACCCGCGAAATCCCAGATCGTTCTTCCCGTGCTCGTTGGGCAAGCAATCGCAAATTCTCCTCCTTTTGCTCTTTCTCCTTCTGCGCTAATCGTTGTTTTAGCAACGAGCGTTGACGGACCTCTTCTCTCGCGAGTCGATCCGCAACGTATAAGGATTCCGATAACTGGGCAAACCTATCGTTGATGTGTGTCTATTCGGATCAAATACATAGATTCAAAAATTGTCAGCAGCTGTTGAAGGGTTATTTATGAAAACCGACGTGTGCAATAGTTTAGAGTTTAAAAAAAAGAATCGGCAATACTAACGTCTTGAAGACCTCTACCGTCGGCGGCCAAACGCTTATCAAGGGGAATCGTATACCCTTTATTGTTTTTCCAATTGGAGATACAAGGGGGGATCATCCAAGCCTTCTGGTCTTCACTAGTGATTTTCCGAGGAGGACTTCTGAGGATAGGTGCGGGGGGGCTAGGGGGGCCCCGGGGGATTTTCTTATGTTTGAAGCGAGGAGGTTCGAGAGGGTCTTCAACGGTCTCGACCATCTTGATGATTCTCTGTTTGCCCTCTTCGCCATTAGGGGTGTATCGGACGAAGCTGACGTTCCCGCCAGTCTCGGGTACATGTTTGGGTTGGGCGGCCTTGATTCGAGTGTTGGTTAGCTTCTCGAGTGCCAGACGAGTACGTTCGGTTGTCGATTGGACCTCCTCATTCGACGGCCGTTCCATCTCTCGTGCAGATTCATCCAGATCGGCTCGATGGGCAAGTGGGACGAGGTCCTTGAATTGCGCTTGCACGTGTCGTCCGTCCCGATGTCCTTGCTTGGCGATCTTCGTGTAATCTATCTTCCCTTCTCCGTCGACTGTCAAGGCTAGCGTATTTCCAATCGAGGTCTGGGGTTGTTTCGTCATGTCATCGTCAGCTCGGTTGTACGACATGGAGGATACTAATGAGGGCTCCACTGAACTCACATGTTTCTTGCGTCCCATTTCCAATGGATACTGGGCGATATGACACTCGGGATAGGCACCGCCATCGCCGAAGCTAGAATGCGTTTTTTTTTGTTCATAATGGTCAGTACAGGTTTGATAATGGTTTCGTGCAGAAGATGAGTCAGTCAGGTTGTCGCTCAACTGGTCAGGCAGTCGGGGTTTCCAGCCCTTTCGAGCGCCATAGGCAGGGATCTGAATCGGCGGGTTGATCAGCGCTTCGTGGTTCGAAGATGAGGCTGTTTCCTGCTCAGGCTCTGGTTCATCGTCTTCCACTGTTGGATGTGTTGGTCGTGGGAGTGCCTGGAGTAGGTTGGTCATCTTGGTTTTTTGGGGTTGGAGAACTTTCCGGTCAGCTGAAGTTGATGGATGACTTGTTGACCGTTTTCGAGCTGCATCGGCTTTGAGTGGAGTGCCATTAAATGTGTGACACTCTCTGTGAAACATGTCGAGAATCAAAGTGTCACATTCTGCACCACAGTGCAACAATCAGATCATCCAGATATGTAGACTGGATAAACTGGGTGGGATTTCTACTGGAGGATCCACACTTGGATCATTTGGCACGAAATGGCCGGGAAATGTCATATAAAGAACAATTGGGTTTGCCTTGAACAAAAATCCTGCATCTGGGCAGTAACTCCAAAAATTGTGCAGGCCTAAGTTGCAATCTTCACCAATGACCATTTTTAGTCAATACCATACAGTGGTTTCCCTGGTGGTTCGTGGTATTTGGCCTTGATGCTTCAGATGACAATATACCCAGCACCCCTCCCACCCTCTTTTTTTTTTCTTTTTTTTTTCTCTCTCAATTCTACTTTTTTTATATTTAGTTTTTGGGATTGATCCTTTATTTTTCAAATTCATTCACTCATAAATCTCTCTTTTTTTCAGTTTGCTTGATTTGATTGGATTTTTTTAAGTTTTTTTGTATGATTTTGAGAGCCAAGTACAAGTGTTACATTGTCATTCATGATGAATTACTGCATATTTGGAGATGAGGGTCTATTTGCATGTAATGGACTGGATGGGGGGGAAGAATTGGGTGTGGAGTTGATATATTGCAACCATCTTGTCCAATCTGCCCAATCAGGATTTTGAGGTGGCACAGGAGCCATTTTGCGGCAATTCTTGCATTTGTAACTAGTGTATGATAGAGGATGTGCACTCTTGCAGCTCATGCAGAATATTCTTGAGTAGCGGCGAGTTTGGAATTCCCCACAGCTACATCTACCCACTAGTTGATCTAACCAGAGTATTTCAGATTTACAATCTTTTTGGTGCCAGTGCATAGGGTCATTTTCCCAGGGGCCATATGTGGGATTCTCATTGTCTAGTAGAGATGAACTGTCAAATTGACTTCCAGATTCCCAGTCTTGAAGTTCAGGATTAATTTTTGGTTTCCAGCGGGAAATAACTTCTTCCCATTGGGCAATTGCATGGCTTGATGAATGATCTGGTTCCTCCATTTGCCACATCTCTATTCCTGGTTTCATATTTCCCGTTGTGGAAGTGCTGGTGCCCACAGCTGTGCATTCTGGAAGGTTATAGCCACAAACTCCTGAATGTACTTGTATAGGTTTTGTTGAGGCATGGCACTTTGGGGATATGCATTGATGATACATGAACTTGATATCAATTTTTTCACCACATCCACAGTATCCAGGTATAGTTTTTAATTCAACTCCAGCAGTGCAGTAGGGTGATATATGGGGGACATCTTCCATTACAGCTTCAACTGCAGCTATTGAGATCTTGAGGGCCAGTATGATTATACAGACAGTGGAACATATCATGTTCTGAAACAGATTTGTTGAAATTTGAAGTTCAACTGCTTTCAATGGGGCTTGAACCTGTGGACTTGACACAGTATTTCAAAGAGGTTTCCAGAATGGATATTTAACCAACTAAGCTATTGTGCCAGGGTAATTCAAAGGGAAATTTTCCATATTTAAGGATGGCAAAGGGGAATGGAGGACTTGATGTTGAATCTGGAGCACTTATAGCCGGTGATTTAGACCCAAAGGTCAAAATTCTTTCAGTTAAATTTGGCTTTACAACAAATTCTGAATTTGAATTAAAATCTTCACTGCCAATATGATTGGCTGGGTTGAGGTTATTCCAGGTTAAAATTTAAATGGGATGCACTCAACCAATTTAAAATTGGTTGGATTCCAACAAATGAAATATTAATTGAAGTAGGTACCTTGGATTTATATTTCATTGGTTAAGATTCAACCAAGCTTAACTTGGTTGAGATTCAACCAAATTTAACTTGACTGAGATTCAACCAAATTTAAATTGGTTGAGATTCAACCAAATTTAAATTGGTTGAGATTCAACCAAATTTAAATTGGTTGAGATTCAACCAAATTTAAATTGGTTGAGATTCAACCAAATTTAAATTGGTTGAGATTCAACCAAATTTAACTTGACTGAGATTCAACCAAATTTAAATTGGTTGAGATTCAACCAAATTTAAATTGGTTGAGATTCAACCAAATTTAAATTGGTTGAGATTCAACCAAATTTAAATTGGTCAAGATTCAACCAAATTTAAATTGGTCAAGATTCAACCAAATTTAAATTAATTGAGATTTAACCGGGGAGTGATAATCATGCCCCACCCTTGTGCACGCACTCCTACACTCCCCTCAGAAGGGGAGTGTCGGACCGCACGCCAAAGCACTGCCAAAATGATTGTATCAGATTGATACATCTGGCATTATGTCAGATAAAAATATCTGATATTACATCAGGAAAAACTGGGATTGTATCTACCAGAATTGACATTGTATCTACCTAAAATGATATTGTGTCTATCATGAAAGATATTACATTGGAGCACCCTATTCAATGTCAACATAACTGAATTCATGCCAGAGTTTTCTATCTGATTTAATGCCCATGGGCTAAAAATTTGTATCAGATGTAAAAATCTGATATAAAATCAGTTATGTTGACATTGAATAGTTTGGGCTGATGCAATATCTGTTATGATAGATATAACATGGTTTTAGGTAGATACAATATCACATATAATACCAGTTTTGCCTGATGTATAATCAGATTTTTTCATCTGATGTAATGCCAGATGTGGTAATCTGATATAATAACATTTGCAGTGAAGGAAATTGGTGTGTGGGTGCGCACACCAATCTGCAGGGGCAAGAGAAAACCCTCTTGGCCTCAAGACCTGTACAGTATCAGTGTTAGAGGAATGCCTCCAACCTCAATGCAGAGGTCACACCACTGGGAGGAACCCCTTGCCTGTACTCCCCTCAGAAGGGGAGTGTGGTCCCACACGCCAAAGCAGATTGGCATGTGGGAGCGCACACCAATCTGCAGGGAATCTACCCTGCTGCAGGATGTATTTGTCATAATTTGAGCCCGCATAACTTTGTAATCAAAGTACCCAGCCATGCAGGTACATCCACAATTCTCAACTTCATCATCTCTCCAAAACCTAAGCCAGAAAAATCTTCCCCAATAAAACATCCCGGACTTGCCACACAAACCTGGTCTCTTTTTCTTTACATGCTTAATCAATATTCAAATGTGAAGAAAAAGAGACTAGTATGTTGAATCCCCAAAATCCCAAACTCATCAACCCAAAACCCAAAAGGCAAAAACACTGATTTCTATTCTTTATCCTTTTTCTTTCTTTCTTCAATTACAAAACAAATGTCTAGATTAAAAAAATCCTCTTGCGTGTCCTTCAAACATTATTCCCAATTTATAACTTGCTCACATTGCTTGCTTGTTTTGCAGGTGTGTGGTGTTGTCAGGTGTTGTCTTTGTTAATTGGAACAACTCAACTCATTATATTTCTTTCATCAGGTTATCACATCACGGCTGTGTGTGATTATAACAGTCTTTTGCTCCCACTTGGAAGTTTTGATTGGTGTACTGGCCCACACTACCATCATCAGGGAGTGTGGGAGTGCGTGTGCGAACGGGGGGGGGTGTGATTATCCCTCCCCAGTTCAAGCAAGTTTGACTTGGTTGAGTTCATCCCAGTTAAACTGGGGTACCCTCAACATAGTCAATTATGCCATCAGTGTTTCAAATTTGAAGGAAAGTCCCTCCAATATCTCTGAATTTGTTATTCAAACAAATTAAAAAACCTCCCTTAGTCTGAAACCTATTTGGCTGAGAGATGGAGAGGCAGTTTAGAGAATCTCCAACAGTCCTGGTTATATGGGACCTGCAACCAACTCTAGTGGGCTGCAAGGCTCTTTTTGCCTCTTGTGGAGTTGCTGAACATTGCAAGGGTGTACCAAAGCTGTCCTGGGGTGCTGAGTTCAGAAGCTTTGGCAGTGTTTCACCCCCCCTGCTAAAATTTCACAGTTAGAAATTTGCACACCTGTGACAGATTGGGACATCTCACTCCGGGGTAAAGATGTCCTTGCAGCATCCATGACCTGTTGGTGGGTACCTCCTCACCACTGCTGGTAGCCACCAAGTGGCCCCAGGGGTGATACCTGGTGTTTTTCTTTGGCCAAAATCAGACCAGTACCCAGGTATCCTCACAGTTACTGCCTCAAGCCCCCCTGTATAGACAACAGGTAGCCAGGTACCCATCCAGCCCCAGTATATATGATCAGATATGATTTCCCAACTGGAATCAGAACATATACCAGGTTGATCTACCTACTCCAACAATGCCACCACACGCCTGGTTGAAACCAAAGGACAAACATGGTTGAACATCCACCTATCCAACCTCTCCAACACAACCATCACAGGATAACTTATCCAAAGAGGCAAGCACTCCACCAAACAGCAACCTGGGCTGACCAATGGGGAGGAGTTGGGCAATGGTGCAACAAATACAATACACATATTGTACCTACACTACACTAAATTGTATCGCATTTTGTTTTGAGTGTGTATTTGAATACATTGTATCACCCTGGTCAACAAATATGATAGGAGCAACACTGGGAGGTTACGTTTTCAGTAACGAAAAATAACGAAAACGTAACAGAATTGTGGCCGTTAGCGTTACAATAACCGCAAAAGCCTTTCCGTTACGTTTTCTTTTTCCTTTTTTCTGCTTTTTTTTATTGTTTTTACGCTATCCACCACAATTTAGTGTGGATAACGAACACATAATGAGGGGCTTTACCCTCACACAACGTGGATAACGTGCTGTTTGCGTTGTTTTCTTCCGTAACGAGGGGTAAAATCCCTCTCGTTACGTTACTCACCGGTCAAAAAAGATCGCATTCTGGATAACGCTAATGTTGTTATCCAATGCGCTGGGAAGTTAAGTTACAAAAATCCCTCCGGATATCGTAAAGTATGTAACTTCCCAGTGTTGATAGGAGTAATTTTTATTCAGCCAGAAAGTACGTGATTTAAAATACATTTGTTTTGTATCACAATTTTGAAAGAATCCAAAAGTCTAGATTATGTTTCATTAGATTAAGACTAGACATTAGAAAAGAATTATTATAAATAATAAAAATGGACTAGAATCAAACCTAGGAGCAGGAGTGAAGATACTGATAGAGAGAGAGAGAGAGAGAGCTGTAATGATAGCTATAGAATGAAATGAGATAGAGTCAATGACCCCTTTTCTACACAAGTTGGCAATGTGAGTGAGGTTTTAATTCACATTAGCTCCTTGATCATTGTACCAGTCTCCTCTCAGCAAACAGTTCTTACTCAGACTCGGTTATGCTTCAGAGATAATCCTTTCTTCCTTCAGCCAATACAATTAAGTAAAATGCTTGTTTTCACTATACAAAATAGAGAACAGCATACACCTCCTCAGTCTAATTGTACTGTTGGATCACTGTTTACAGTCAGACTTAAATTTGGCTTTTCCTGATGGATGGCCTTTGGTTATTCTCCTGCTTTCTTTCCTGTTGTCAACAACTAGGAAAAGATAGAATGCTTTGATAATTTTTTCTATTCCGTTAACCTCCAGTTCTGGTTTAGTTAAGCTTACCTGGTGGGTTACTTTGTATTCCGTTCTGTTTGGTCTTCTGGATTTTCTTCCTCCTGATTGCTGTTGTTGTTGCTGTAATCAATAAGATTGATTTTGAGTTTACTACACAGGACAGTGGGTCCTTCAATTGTGTATGCATATGCTTACAGATATCCGCAGTTAGGTCATGTAGAGATCGTTCATTTGTACTTGGGTACCTGTTGGTACCTAGGTACTTGAATTTTTTCAGAAAATAGGTACCAAGTACCGCACCAGGCACCTCCTGGCGGGTACCGGCGGTACTTTTGGCAGGTACCGCGGGTACCTCCCCTCTCTTTCTCACATAGTTTCACTCCCAGAGTCCCAAGTCACTTTTTTCATGATTATTGTACCCTTTAAGTCAACCTCTTGATGTTTTTTTGCTTATTTTTTTTAATAAAACAATTATCTTGATGTGAAGATTTGTGGTTCAAAAGTCTTTCAAATTTTGTATTCTCTTCCTCTTTATTTATGTGTGATCAATTTTTGACTTTTTTTTCTCTTTCAAGTTTAGCCTTCGTTATGTTTTCTCCCCTCCCTTTCTTCAACTGTCACCTTTTTTCAATTATTTTGTTATTTTCTAGAACCCTCCTGATGAGCTGTATTAAAAACCAGCTCATTGGGAGGAGACCCTTCAAAACCATTGAAACAATGGTGAATACTGGCAGCATCTGGAAGTTTAATTAATGATTATTCTTCTCACAAGAATGCAAAAATATTTGCTGAATCATGTGCACTAAGAATATTTCTCATAATTTAAATTGGCTTAAAAGGCATTTGTTTGTTGAACCATTTCTCAAGGGATTTTCTCAGGGTAAG